TCTGTTTCCAGAACTACTAGAAAGGGTTTCAGCTAAGTAAGTTGCTACCTACAAGGCAAGCAGGAAACAAAGGTAGTCCTGCTACCAGTAAATTGTTCTGCCCTTCCTCCACATCAAACAATAAAAAGAACCAGCATATGCATTTGAAAAGGCAGGTGTAATATACCCTGCCTACTATCCTCATGGCTGTGCATTAAAAAAAAAACTTTGCAAAAGATAACAACTGCACACCAAGAAAAACAGAAATCTGAGAAAGATAAGATGAATTTTACATTGTATTTTTGCATCCTTCCTTTCTATTTGCTTGCCCACTGAGCAGTGTTGTGTTCATGTCCGTCTTGCAGGCTTCCCACGGGCATCTGGTTGACCAGTGGGAGAACAGGATGCTAGGCTAGAGGGGTCATTGGCTGTGATCCAGCTGGGATCTTCTTGTGCTCTTATGATCACTGTAAGCAGCAGCTCCTCCTCTGGCTTTGTGGTTTTTACCAGGCATTTCTCACACACTTTCATTAGGCGTGGGGAGGACTGGCCTTGACCTTGACTAGCAGTTAGAAAAGGAACAAACTCCAGGAAGCTTTCTGGGTCCCCCCCCCCCAAAAAATACCACAAAAACCCTGACACTTCCTCTGTCCCTGCGCATCATCTGGAGAACAAAGGACTACTGGGTTGAATGTTTTTACCTAGCACACCACCTACAATTAATTCCCACCTTTATTTATATAAAACCTGCCTTTCCCCCTCTTTTTTCCTGCTTTCCACCTACCAAGCAAGCTGTGTGCTTCTCCTAAGGACAGACATGTAACAGATGCCTTTTTGTATTTTTAGAGGTGGGAAACTAGCCATTGTAAGTTTCTCCTTCCCAGGATGCATTGGTGCAACCTGAAACCTGCAGAGCATCTTACAGAACCTCATTTGCATGTCTGCTCCTTCCACCTGCATTCCATCTTCAGCCTCTTTCCCAAAACAGACTCTTGACTTCACCACCAAACATTTTCCCCCTCCCTTCTCATTGCTTTGTTTGCCACCAGACCTGATTAAGAGTTCTGGAGAAAATGAAATCAAAATGTTGTTGCACGCTCATTTGTGACAGCTTGGTCATTTTAGTTGGTCCACTAAAGTATTGCCCTCATGCGGATGTTGAGATTCATCTTCTGGGCTCACATGGTGACCTTAATTTTATTTTTGTGGGGGTTGAACACATGCAGATTTTGTGTGTGTTTTATTTTGCATTGTTGCAAACACAAAAGCATTACTGCCCCCCTCCAAAAAAACCCAACCCAAATAAACCACACTTGAAATTAAGTGGTAGATATTTTTTTCTTTAAAAATGGAAAAGAATGCTGAGATTCTCAGGGAAGCATAATAGCCCATTCTGCACTTTCTCTGTGCATGGCATAATGAAATGCAAACAGTCCTGAGGAACATTGTGTCTCAGGGAAGAATTCAACAACATGCTAAGGTGATGTTACATGAGGACAAGCATTTCAGCTTGCCAGGTGGAATGAGTCCTTGCCTCCTCTCCCAGCTCACTGTTCTTGAGGTTCTCCCAACCTTCTCAAGACAATTTTGGGGGCATGTGGGTTGGTGAGAGTGGGGAAGCCCCATTGCAGAAGTAGAAGCTCTTGTACAGAACTTTTGCTGATAGGGCTCAATAGTTTAATCCCTCCCTCAGTATTTTAGTGCTACGGTGTAGCCATAATGAACCTCATAATGCATATTCACACCAAACAGTAGGGTTACCAGTTCATCATAATGGAACAGGCTTATGGATGCTGATTTAAGCATGCATCCCTGTATATGTAGACTAGTTCCTACTTTTGTCACACACATCCATAACAGTGTTACTCCAGCTCATGATGTCTGCTCTTGATTGTACATGGTGCATTAGGGAGACAACATGAAATAGGTGTGTGAAACCTGCGGCACACCAGATGTTGCTGGACTCCAACTCCTGAGAGTCCCAGTCAGCATGTTCAATGGTCAGGGATCATTAGAACTGTAGTCCAACAACTTTGGGAGGGCCACAAATTCTCCATCCCTCATGTAAGATATTTGTGCAAGCCTGCCAGCAGTCTGGAAGCCTAGTGATCATGAATTAACAACTGTTAGCAAAGGGCAGCTGGGTTTCAGTAGGACTTATGTGTACCAAACTTTCCCTGCACTGGAGCCTTTAAATGGGCTTGTTAGCAACATAAACTTGAAAAGGGGTCCTGATTCACCAGCAACTTGGCAGCAGCAATTAATGGTAGGAGCAGACTGGGTACTGAAAAACTGGGGTTGGCCTAAACACATAAATACCAGCTTCAGGCAGAAACATGATTTGTTCTGGGGAGCCCAACCACAATTGAATTCAGATGCTGTTATATATCTAAGGCAGTCACCAAAGGCTAAAAAATAAATCCCTGGAATGCTGGGGTCTCTATGCTACCTCCTGCTTGGGGAAATAGAAACCATCTCCTCTGTGCCTTTCCATGAGCAGTTGGTGGGTTCCCATCATCACCATCCTTGCTTGCTGCAGGACCCCAAATCTTAGTTATGGTGCTGTCAGTGCCAGTAGATACTCTAGGTCAGGGGTAGCAGCAAGATTCAAATTTCAGATGGTACTGGAGATGTGAGGCAGAATGTCCTGGAAAGGTCTGAGGTCTGATCTTGGAAGCATTCAAAATATAATTGCAAAGAGCAAAGTATGTTTGCATTGCTTACTTCTTTAGATGTCATGATGACTGGAAACAGATGTATTCCTGGTAGAAGAGTTACATGTGTGAAACCCAAGCATACGGAAGTGTCCTCCCCACTCTAAAGGAACACATACTGTATCCATATTGATCAGATTTGAGTGAGGGCAGGAAGGAGCGGAGGAAACAAGAGCTACCTATGACTCCTGGTAAGATTTGTGTGTAGGATATGGCACTCCTGAATTTTGACCACAGATGGTCTGGACACAAAGTGAGGGCGACTGCCACCCTCCATCCATTCAGTGCTCTGCAGAGCTTTCCCCCTCTCCACCGAATAACTATTGCCAGCTCCCCTTCTCCATCTTTGGGGGGGCTACAAAGCGCTTACAGGTCAGAGGGCGTGGCTTCCTGTTTGGTTCAGAGCAGCAGCAGAATCTCTACAAATTAATCACTGGGCGCTGTGGAGTTGGCTTTGCTGGCCGATCTGTCGGATTTCAGCACCGCAGAGCAGGACAGCTACGTAGGGCCTTGGCCCGGTGAGCGGTTGCTACTGTGAACGCATGAATGCGAGCTCGCCTTGACTTCCAGATCAGATTTCCGAGGGAACCTTGCTCGCTAGCTATGCGTTCCTGCCACCTCCCACCCGTAGTCAGGTTGCTATTGGACTGCACCTTGGTTTGTTTGTTTTTTTCTTAAACTTCCGTTTATTGTACAAATTAGTAAAGGTTGCACCTTTTTTTAAGGAACTATTACAATAATCCCATAGGAATTGCTCACACTAAGAAGGGGGAAGGGAGAAGGGAATCATATTTAAGGAGAAATGCAACACTTGACGGACGTCTCCTTACTATCTCGTTCCAAAGGTGTGCTTACTAAATTCCCAAATGTGCATTACATAGTCATATACAGGATTACGAACAAAATTACAGTACAGATTGAGTTCGGTTGAACCAGCGTTACATTTCAGACAGCACTTATTGCGGATTGCATTGTACATGCATAATAACTATATTGTTCTAATTACGAAGTCAAATGGTTCGAATGGGTTTGAAACTACTGACTACAATCCACCAGCATATTATATAACAACCCCAACCATAGTGAACCTGATTGGCTTTTCGACTCCTGGACGGAAATATGACAAACCATCGATTCATGTGACTATGTATATATTTAAAAATATATATATCATGCATTTATCATTGCCTGGAAACATTAAGTGTTTTCAAGTTATCTCTGTTCTCTTCAAAATCACGTGAGGAGAAGGAACGGGGACGCCAAAGATTAAAAAGAAACAGTGCAAATTGAATGTGATAGTCAAGCAGCTTTTGATTCGGGAAAAAAAGGGAAGAACTTGGCATTTACTTATGAAAACATGAATGTCTGGCGAGTGGGAGGGTGTCTCTATCCGCACATAAGGTTTTGCAAACCTTCCGTTGGATTGATATGTTCCAATAGGAAATAAATATTTTCCTACTCCCATTTTTTAAAAAAATAATAATCCAAAAACCCTGTAGGAATCTGGTTCTTACTGGAAGGAAACGAAATTTTAATGGGAAAGACTTTGCTGGCGCTGTGCATTTGTGTGTGTGAAGAACGTGAAAGGAAAATGAACGGGGCGGGGAGGTGCTAAGGCAACAGAACATCCCCCCCTCCCCACACACCTCTTCTAAGCACTTTTCTGCTGGTTTAAATTACTTAAATTATTTCGTATAAATTAGATATAATTCTACTTTGTTTCCAATACGTATAAAAATCGATGAAGCTGCATGGTTTAAAATAGTTTATCAAAAGTTATTAAAAATTCTGTACAAAACCACAACAAAATAATTCGGCATGGGAAAAGGTAGCAAGTAGGAAAAATGCTGGTTGAAAAATAGACATTTTATATATACTTTTTTCGATTATTTTTTTTAACTGGCCCACGTCTAGTTTCAAAAACAAAAAAAAATTAATAAGAATTGCATAGATCCTAATTATTGCTTGTGATTTTTTTTTTTTTTTTGTCCCGATCAGATCAGTGGGGAGACTGGCTGACTTTCTTCTACACTAAATTGATAGTGCAGATTTACATTCGGGACCGTGCGGGGTGGGGAAGCTTAGCGGAGGGAGGTGGGATTTACAGAAGGGGGACCAGGAAAAATGGAGCCTCCCCATATATTTATATAGATGACTCTGGCGTTTGGAAGTTCCCCCCTTTGCCCCTTCCCGTCTTTTTGCACTTGGAGCCCTAGGGTGGGTGGGCGTCTGTGGGGGTCCCCCTTCCCAAGCAAGGCATCCCCTCGATGCCCCTTCGCTCCTCTGCCCCGACGCTTCTGGAAGGGCTCAGTCGTGAAAGATGGCATTGAGCTGGGCACTCATGACCCTCTCGTGGTGGGCATGGCTCTCGTAGGGCAGGAGGTTGTCGATGGGGATCTCGCAGCGAGAGGCAGAGCAGGAGAAGAGCGATCCGTGTCCCGGGGTCCCCGCCAGGCCGGCGGCGGCGGGGTAGTGCATGGTGAAGGCATAATTTTTCTCAAACTCTCCGGAAGGTTCGTGTTTGAAAGAGAAGTTCCCGTTGACGCTGAGCGGAGGGCTTAGGGGCCCGTCGAAGGAAGGGCTGGCGCACTCGGCCAGCGCGCTCTCGAAGAAAGGCTCCAGCGCCGCGCCGTAGGAGTGCGGCGCTTTCACGTGGAACAGGTGGGAGCTGTCCATGGTGCCGTAAGGCGGGCTAGGCAGCCCCGGCGACTGGTAGGCGTAAGGGTGCACCGGGAAGGAAGCGCTGGGCGGTTGCATGTGCGGAGGCAGGTCCTGGCTCTGCTCAGGCAGGAAAGTCCTCGGGTTGAGCTGCAGGCAGCCGGCCACTAGGTTGGTGGTAGGCTGGGACAGGCCTTTGCAGAGCGTCTGCACGAAAGAGACCAGGTCGGGGCTCTTGCCCGAGCGCAGGATCTCCGAGAGGGCCCAGATGTAGTTCTTGGCCAGGCGCAGCGTCTCGATCTTGGACAGCTTCTGCGTCTTGGAATAGCAAGGCACCACCTTCCGCAAGTTGTCCAGAGCCGCGTTGAGGCCGTGCATGCGGTTCCGCTCGCGGGCGTTGGCCTTCATGCGCCGCAGCTTGAACCTCTCTAAGCGGGCCTTGGTCATCTTCTTCTTCTTGGGACCGCGCCTCTTGGGCTTCTGATCGTCGTCGTCTTCTTCTTCTTCCTCCTCCTCTTCTTCCTCCTCCTCTTCTTCGAGGTCGTCCTCTTCCTCCTCCTCTTCTTCCTCCTCGCCGTTTCTCAGCGAGTCCACCTCGGCTTCGGCATGCATAGCTTCCAGGTCGCCCTCTTTCTTCTCCGCCTCGTGCTCCTCGTCCTGGGAGCTGAGGCAGTCGTCCGTCCAGCTGGGGGGACCCTGCGGCTGGGGCTCCCCCATCAGCCCGCTCTCGCTGTACGATTTGGTCATCCTGCAGGATCCTGCGCGCGGAAGAGATCACAAAAGAAAAAGCATTTAGCAGAGAGGACACTCCCAATAACTTCCTCCAAGCCCTTCCTCCGGGGCTACAATCCTAAATGCATTTGCCACGGAGTAAGCGCCACTGAAACCAGCGAGGTTTACTTCTGAGTAGAAATGCACAGGATTTTCTCCTTGTCAGCATTATTTAGGAAGTTCTATAATAGTTATTCCGTTCACACCGATTACAATGTGATAATTGGCTTTGGTGAGTTTCACCCCCCCCACACACATTTCTATGCGACTTTCTGCAAATTGGGTTCTTAAAGAAGTTTCCTAGCAATTTGAAACTTACGGCGCAATCCTCACCCCGTCTACGGAGACGTCCTATTCAATTCAACCGAGTTTCCTCCGAGGCGTAAGAGTACTGCAGCTTTAGACTCTCTGACTTCTAAGCCTTCCCCAGTAAACAAACTTCGACTTTTCTCCGCGCGTCTCCACCACAATGAGATCGATCGTCTCAAATAGCATTATATAACTTGTTTATATTAGTGTTGGTGGTGGCTCTCTGAGGAGATTATAGATAGAATGAAATTTGACGGAGAGAATCGAAAAGAAGAAAATGTCTCGGGGGGTGGGGCGGGCGTGGGGGAGAGAACATCACGCAGCAGCACAGTCAGCGGGACAAATGGCCAACGATTATTCAGCCCGGGCAGGATTTATCCGTTGAGTTGGGTGCCCCTTTTCATTCTGCCCACATTTCATTCTGCCACTTCATTCTCCCCTACAATAGCCGTGCAGACTTCCCAACTGTTCAGAGTCCAGCCAAAGTCTGCCGCCCAGACAGGGGATCAGGTGCAGCCACAGCCTCTCTAATAAACCACCCCTCCCCTGCCTTCCCCCACCCCCCTTTCTGCCTGAGGATCCCCAACCTTGCGAGAGGACGCGTTTGCTAATGAAGGGGATGGACCGATCCTGACCGTCTTAGGCAAGCGACTCTACCGAAGCCTCCGGAACTACAAGGCGATCCAAATGCAACAGTTGAGTGAAACCGTTTGCTTCTCCGTCACCAGCGCAGCCCCTCTGCCTCCAGCGGCAATGGGGAGCGAAACCTGACCCATCTGTTGCCCACTTTCCCTCTCCCCATATAGGAACTTCCCTCTCCCTTTTAGCAAGCAACCCGCCAGTTCCCAATCCTGACCTGTCAAAGGACAGGCGAGTCCTATCAACTGATTTGAGGCCCCATTTTTCTTCTCTCTTTCCACCGCCAAAAGAAAGAAAGAAAGAAATCCAGCGGCACCTGTTCTAGACTGCAGCCCACACTCCTTCCGATCTGTAAGGACAAGGTCTACTGGATTCGATTTGGCTCTGATCCCCGCCTCCCCCCCCAAAAAAAACCAGTGCCATGCGCAACAAGGCATTACTACGGATTCCTCGGATCATTTCTACCGTATTTTTTGTGTCGCTGCGCCTCACACGGCTTGACGCAGCAGCAGAAACGCAGATGGGGGGAACTGAAGGATGTCATACAACGCGCGCTTTCTAGCGTGTAGGTCGAGAGCGTTGGATCAGCGGGTCTTTACTTCATGGGTTTTGCCAGGATTTATGCTGGGGGAGGAGCAGGCTTTATGCTGGGGGGGGGGGCGGGGAGAGAGAACCTCAGCTAGTTAAGTATTTTGTATTGATTTACTTGATTTAGGGAGACAGCTACCCCACCTTGCCCCTCCCTTGGCTATGCCCATGCTTTACTCCTGAGTAAGATCGTACTGGACCCAAGCGTGTGGCGAAAAGAGTTCGCCAACAAGAAAGGTCATTAAAAAAATATTTTTTTTAAAATAAAAATGTAGTGAAAAGAGCCAATCCAATGGTTCATCCTTATTTCGTTCAGATAGAGGAAATAATAGCCTTCTGGGGAAATAAAGCTAGTCGTGCGATGGGTTGGGGTGCTTTTTTCCCCTTTTCTTTTTTAGGCATATCCTTCACCCAAGCCACGGATACTGTATAAAGAGGAGATGGGTGCTAAGGAGGGAATCAAATATTTACCTTTCTCTTTTTCTTCTTCAGCGTGTCCTTTGCAGTGATGGTCTCATAACCCTGTTGCTCCTGGGAAGCTTTCCTTACAACGGAGGGACGTGCCACTTTTTATTGGATTTATGTGTGGTTTTTTCCTTGAGGCTGCATGCAGGAGACTCCGCTTATATATATAGCCGAGGCTCTTCTGTTGGGAGGGGGGAGGAGGAGGAGGAGGGGGCGGGCAGCGAAGGCACCCCCTGGGGATGGCCAGGCAGCAAGCTCCACCTCCTTCGCTCCTCCCCCCTCCCGCTACACCCCCCCTACCCACCCAGCGACTGCGTCAGCCTTCCCCTGGCACGCGCCATATGGTCACCCACGTCAAGCTTCGCGCGGGTCACGTGAGCTGCCCATTCGTATGCCGCCCGGCTCTCCCTGCCATCCCTTTGTGGCCCGAAAGAAAGTGGCCATCTGTCGCCAGCCAGAGACTCGGCGGACCTGTTTGTACCCGCAGGAGAGATTAACCCTTGCGCTGGCGCGCGAGGCTTGGGGATATTGAGAGGGAAAGGGTGTGTGTGTGGATTGTCCCCTTATACTTTTGACCGAGGAACTAGGAGTAGCCTCCTTGAAAGAGAAAGAAAGAGAGTTTCGGGCTCTTTCTTTTGTCAGATCGCGGAGATCCTTTGCGCGCTGCGTTGTGTAAGCATTCAAGGTCTCCACCCAGCACGAAACTCGCAGAACGATTTCACGTATGAGGAAGGCTCATTAGGGTACAACCAGCGCTCGTTTCCTCCTTGCATTGCGCTCAGTTCAGGTTCCCTAGTTGCCGTCGCTTCTTTCGGTGCGGAGATGGAAACAGAAACGCGTTCTCGGATGCTTTTCCGGCTGGGGTCCGGGAGCAGCTTTGCTCCCCTCTGGAGGGAAAGCACCGAGTGCCAAGCAGCCTACTCCCAGGTCGTGCAGCTCACAGACGTGGGAAACACGCCATACATTGCGAAAGCTGCCCTGGTCTGTTACAGCAGCAACCATCCGCTTCCCGCCCAGCAATGACCCAAGAATCTGGAGGCAAAAGCTTTCCTGCTAGGCGACAGCCCACTCCCGCAGAGTCTCAAGAGATCTCCAGCCTAGGGGGAAAGCGATCATAGGTGGTTTTTATATATAAACTCTTTATAAAAATGGTGGTGATGTGTGGGTTCATTCGCGCACCTTTGTTGGCCGAGGGTAGCAGAAGTGGTTAGGAAACGGTCGGATCCACCAGTCTCCAAATATTCAGTCGTGGTCTGCAGATACTGAATCATTGGTTCGTCTAACTCAAGATTCCCTGCACGGCTCTCTCAGGTCGGGAGCCTTTCCTGGAGATGCTGAACCTGAGGAATGAACCTGAGGACCTTCTGCTTCCAAAGCAGACGATCAACTACCACTGAGCAACAGCGAAGCAGAGAATAAAGAAGGAACTTTTGTTTACTTTCCCCCTACCCTTCGGCTCCGAGCTTCCTGCAAAGAGGCCAGGGCTGTTCGCATCAGGTTCCCAGCTGAGCTTCAGCACTAGGTCAGCGTCTTCAGAGCCTTCGAACGGGCTGCTTCGGTGGGTTTGCAAATCGCATTTCTGGGAGGTGTGTGGTAGAGGCGCACCGTCCTTCCTCGCCTCACCTGGCAATCCAAAATGAATTAAAAATAATAGCAGATCCGCCCCACCACACTCTATATTTTTAGTTTCTATGCGCACAAAGCACTGGGAAAGTCCACTCTATAAACTGAATTCTCTTTTTCTCTAGCCACAGACCAGAAGGGTTGCCCCACATACATCCCCGCTGGGCTGTTTCGAAAACCCACAGCCTTTAGCTTGGAAGGGAAAAAAACCAACGAGCGCCAACAGATATTTGTTTTTCGACTTGTGATCAGCAAAGCATCACACAAGGACTGAAAGCAGAGTTCTTGTGCGCCTAGTGATATTTGCCGTTTCACAATGAGAACTTCTCGCTCTTGAGCTTGAGTTAGGGGTCTCTTTAGATCCAGATGGTTTTTCCATCACCAGATTTTTCTAGGCTTGTTTGTTTTTTCTTTTTAAAGGGGAAAAAAAGTCTTTTCTAGATGACCCTTCGTTATGTCATTGATTCGCTCTCCTAAGAAGGTGGGTGGAGGTTCAGCCATCTAGGTTCCTCTTGCGTGGCCTGGAGCAAACCACCTCCAGATCAACCTAGCTTGCAGGGTTCTTGCTAGAATCAATTAAAGCGCACAATGGTAGATGCCGACCAGGGCGTATGTAAGCACAACCATCTAATACTGAAGGACGGATCACCGATGCTTCGGGCAACGTGCTGAACGCCTTCAAGGAGAAGGTCCTCTTCAGCTTTGGTCGCCTGCTTTGTGCATAAATCAGTATAAACAAGCCATCCCTCCCTCCCCGCCTTTAGTAAAGCACTCCATTTTCATATCCCGGAAAGGAGTTAGGCGATGCAGAGAAGAGGCTCCCGACGGAGCTGGGGAGGAAGAAGAGGGACAGGACTTACAACAGGGCAATTGAAAGCGGCCCTGTTTCTCAACAGACGGCGTCGTCATGCGATAGGAACGCGCTTCTAGACCCTTTAATGAGCGTTCCTTTTCCAGGAACTTGCTTGGCAAGTGAGAAAATGGTTGCGCATGTGAGAGAGGGAGAGAGCAGGTTGTTTTAAAAGTCTGCCAGGAGAGGCCAGTTGAGAAGAAATGGGAGAGATACTCGGTCGTCGGAAGCGGGTCAGGCGCGACAGGAAGAAAGTCTGGGAAGTGGAAATTTCCTCTTACGGTTCATCCCTTGTGAATTTAGTTCTTTCCTTCCTTCGTGGTTCTCCTATGCGGTCCATTCAGCCAAACCATCTGCAGCAGTGCTGGATATTACCCTCGTTGGAAGCAATTCGTCGACTTTGAACCCGAGTTCAGACAAGCAGTGGCGTAGCGTGGGGGGTGCAGGGGGCCGCACCGGGCGCAACATCTGGGGGTTAGGGTTAGGGGGCGCAAATCCACTGGTTAGGGGGCGCAAATTACTTGCCTTGCCCCGGGTGCTGACAACCCACGCTACGCCACTGCAGACAAGTGATACGTGGGCCAAATGGTAGGCCTTCGGGCCTGGATTCAGATCCCTGAGAAATTTAGCCTGGGGGATTTGGGCGTCGCTCTCCTTGGACCCCAATCTCTTTCTGCAGAAGGATAAGTAAGGCCGCTTAAGGGCTGAGGCAGCAGTCCTAAGTCCACTTACCTGGGAGTAAGCTCCATTGAATCCAATAGGGTTTACCACTGAGTAGACGTGGTTAGGAACGCATTGTTAAAGTGGGGGGAGGGGTTGTTGAGGGTGGGATTCCACAAGAACTGCAGGGCAGTTCAAGCTATTAAAATGTGCCTTTGTCTGTCATCCCCTCAGTGGGACTTCCTTTTGAGTAGGCACATATAGGATCCCACTGTTAAAGTCCTGACTGTGGACTGGGTCGCACGCCTGCAGTTAGTTTCTTGTTTGTTTCTGTTGCCGCCACAACCCTCATCCGTCTACTTCTTAACTTTGCTCTCCAACCCCTGAGTTCTCTTCATCTGCCGCCGTTTTTTTGAGGGTGTGTGTGGACAGTCTGAGCTCATACACGTTTACTCAGAAGTCATTCCCATTGAGTTCAATGGGGTTTACTTTTGAGTAGCCATGGCTGATCCCAGGGAAGAAACAAGGGTATTATTATTCCTATTTTGTTTTACTGACTTCCAAACAACTACCAAAGAGGAATAAGAACTGGGGCTGCGAATATGGTACTTATTTATATGCCGCTGAATGCCAAAACAAAGCTTCAAAGCTGTTTATAAAGTGTGTTTTTTTTTTAAAAAAAAACAACAACAACAACCCAGTGATGCCACGTTAAAATATATTTTTAAAAATCCGTAATGGTAAAAATGCATAGTAAAATAAAGCAATTTTTTTAACAATACAGCAAAAACAAAACCAAGAGACTCGGGTCTAGAGATAAAGAAATACCTCTGCGTGTGCGTGTCATCTAATCTATCTATCTATCTATCTATCTATCTACCTATCTCAAAGCTTCCTTTATTTTTCTTTCCAGTTTCTTCCTTCCCTTGATTATTTTTCTATTCCTCATCGGCACCTCAGAGTCCCCCCCTCCACCCACCCTCTCTCTCTCTCTCTCTCTCTCTCTCTCTCTCTCTCACACACACACACACACACCTCTCACCGCTCCCCCTCTCCGACCCTCCCCCCCCCCGTTTGAGGGCTCCTCCTGTCTGCCAAGCGGCACGCGAGCCGCACGCGTTGTCAACAAAAGCCTCTTTCACGGCTCGCTGCCCCTTTGCAGCGTCCCAAATCTGCTCGCCCCTCTGCCGCCTGCTTGCAGCTCATCTGCCGACTTTGGTTCCCGGCCCCATCCATATAGCAGCAGCGGCGGCAAGAGGGTGGGGGAGGGAGGGAGGGAGGGAGGGAGGGGGGCGGAGAGGAAAACAAAACACGAAGGCCAGCGTTTAGGACGCCCACCGCTGAGGGTGCGGGTAGGGGCAGCAGGCAGGTCGAAAGAAGCGCGCGAGGAGGAGGACCAGCTTCTTCGCTTTTCTGTTCTCTGCTGCTGACTAAGTCAATGGGATTTTCCCAAACAGATGACATTTTGAACCTCGCGCGTGTGAATGTGTTCCTACACACCTTGGTTCGATTGTTGTACGGAGCAGGGGAGCACTGGCACCTCAAGCAGCTAATTTATGAAGCCCATTTCTATCGGAAGTCAACCCTTTCCCTTGAAACTCCGCACCGAAGAAGCCCATGAAACATAAGAATGTTGTTTATTTTCACCGACAAATTCTGCTTGGGGGTGAGGGTCTAGAGTCGAGGCAGGTTGGCGACACTTTCTATAGAGATATAAAAATAAGGGGAAGGGGCGGACATCGAAGTAACCGACGACATACCCTGCGGAGAACTGCTAGTTTCTTGCAGATCTGGCGAAGGCAGTGGAAACGCTATTAAAATGCCTTATAGTTGTCCAAAGTGCGAACTCCATCCCAAGGAAATCTCTGGGGTTTGCGGCATTATCTTAATTAAGATAATTGATTCATATTGCACCTGCGAGAATGAAGAGCGGAGGAGAGAGGGAGGGAGAGAAAATGATTCTCTGCCCGCTCTCCCTCCCATCCTAGCTTAAAGCTATTGGAAAGAGGAAGCCTTGCTTAATATTGAGTGATTTATGACCGCAACAGACAGCAGTAGCTACGGCTGCGTCCTGTTTATTTGAATATTCCAACCCTTGCACAGAGTACATAGGGCCCAATGAAGATGGAAGCTGCTCGTCTTTCTTTCTTTCTTTCTTTCTTTCTTTCTTTCTTTCTTTCTTTCTTTCTTTCTTTCTTTCTTTCTTTCTTTCTTTCTCTAAAGTTTAAATCATGTATGTCAATATACCTATACGAAAGGCCGGCAGATTTTTGCCAAGCTCATTAAACAGGGACCCAGCTTTGGGCTTCGTATGCCAAAGAAGTAGATGGAGGCGTGCCGGTGTTTGCCGTGAGTTTTCAGGCAGTGGTGGGGTTGTGTGCGCGGGGAGGGGGACGTCTCACACCTGTTTGCGATAGAAACAGATTGAGGACAGCCGGGGCCAGGTAACAGACGAGAGGGCCTTGACGACGGACAAAGGTGATCTATCGATCTGGCTGAGCTTAATGAGCGCAAACGAAGCTGGGGAGATAGGGTGGGGGATTGGAAAACATCTCCCCAGGCTAAGCTCAATGGGTGGACCACCGATTTGGACAAGCGGCCAATTAGCAATTTAAAGGACGCGAGAGAGGGGAAATCAGCACCCTGGACAGCTCACAGCCGCAGATCACCCTGCGGCTATAAGGCTTTGCCCGGCGCCGTTTTGCTTGCTCTTGGCAAGTCCATAATGACCTGTAAGGTCCATGCTGAACCGCTAAAAGGGTTCCTTTCCCTTTTTTTAATTGCCAAGCGGAGGTCAATATCCGCCCCGGCTGCTGCCCATTTCTTTCAGAAGCTAACCGCTGCTAAAAACGGAAGCATCAAAGTGAAGGAACAGTCTACACACCAGTGTTTTCCTTCTCTCGAATTTTGTTTAGGACGAAAATGCACCAATGTTGTTCTTAGAAGCCCCACAACCATCAGCTACCGAAGGAGGAATAGATCCGTTAGGTAAACCCCGCATACAAAGATCTTATGCAAAAAACCCGGCAAATACACAGTGACATTGTAGCAAATCAGAAAAAAACACATTTCCACCCCCACCCCCAATAGAGTCTTTAATTTCCTTCTGAATCTTGTATTCAGGTTTCAGCTGTGCGGTTTCAAAATCACTGAATTAGGATGGGTTTTTTGTTGCTATTGTTATTGTTGCTGGTAAGTTTGATCTGCCTATAGATGCATATAAAAACAGGTATACAACAAGTGTGTGTGTGTTATAAATATGGGATGTGTGC